TAATGTATTAATTTAAAAATAAAAAAATATTAATTTTTATGATGTCAAGGTTGCATTTTTCAGTAGAGGTGTGAACCTACACAAGTCTCACGGTTTGGTTACGATTATCATGCCATCGATTCGGTTCAATTCGATAACCCGGTGCACTGCACTTTTCATACATAATTAGATTTTTTTCTTCACAACACACTTTTTTTTTTGTTAAAAGCTATAAATATATTAATATTCATATATTGTTTGTAATACAATTTTGTCCTTTAATACAAGCAGTAGGATATATGAACTGTACCTTTAAATTGACCTGCTCAAAAAAAACTCTTTTATTGAATTAATCAAACAAACCACAAAAGACAACATGAGCATTTATAGCAAATAACTAATGTTAATATTATCCTGCTGGCTTTTTGACCGCTGTCAAGCGAGTTCTTACACCCATGATTGGTCATTGTCTTCACCCGCTCAACAAAGATCTATTAATGAACCGATATCTGCATCAAGGTGCACTGAAGAAATTAATTTTAACACCCCTATTTTTCAGTATCACATGATCATCTTGAAAATGCCTATAGACTAAAAACACACATGCTAACTTTTTTAAAAATCGCATTTATGTAGCTTTCATGAAGACAGTAATAATTTTAATTTTCAAAACTTTAAATGTTAGCACTTTCAGAGTAAACAGTGAAGCTAAAACTTTTCTGTTTTTTATGACATCTTTTTTATGTCGTAAAAAAGTACTGTGTAAACGCCCCTGAATTCATATGTTTGAAATGGCTTGTGTTCACCCTGAAGCTAATATCAGGAGTCTAACAGTCACTGGGACATTAGCACACCCATCAGGGAAATAGCTTTCTCCCAGCGCAGGACGTCACAAGGCATCTGTAATTAAATGTCCAAACTATTACAAACCTACAGGCTTTACACTAATACACTGCACATAATAAGAGAACATCAAAGCCCCTCACAGTCGCTGCCTCCTCATTCACACACACACAAACTAATAATAATCTGCCTTCATTCCAGCGCCACAGCGGAGTCTCCAAATACTAGCACTGAGGTCAACAGCACGTAAAGACCCTTTAAAAATAGTGACAAGCAGAAAAAAATAAATGAAACTAAACCCCAGTAGCTCACAAACCCCACCCCGTCTCCTTTAGGCTCCTAAACCTTCGTCCCTGCACTCATTGGCTGCCGACTCCAGCACCATTTTAAGGGACAGAGGCTATTTTCCCTCATTCCTGGAGCTTCAGTGTCGACTTCAGAAGCACAGGCGAGAGGGGAAATATTTGAGGGAGAGGGAAAAAGAGGGGAGGGGCAGCAGTAGAGGAGGTGGGGCTAAGAAAACAAACATCCTATGGGAGCAGAGAGTTCCTCTCCCGCCCCTTGAGCCATCTCAGTGTTTCGCCTCAAAACATAAGGAACTATGCAATCATTTTACACCCACATTTAGGAGTGCATCACAACTCTGGACAGATTTTTCCATAATTTACAGCATTATCACGGAGCTTTAAAAGGACTTTCAATAGCTTTATTAGATAATGCAGCTTCTAATTAAACATTACCATGTGTTATTTTGTGGTAAAAGGAACAGCACGTTAATTTTTCATAAGTGGGAGGACAGCAGCAGAAATATTGTAGGAGTTGACATCAAAAAGCATCTTCAGCAGCTTAGTGTGTGAATATCAATAACACATTTTGTATTCAAGCAATCAAAGTTTCACTTAAATGCTCAAATAAAGTACACAATATATAGTCCACAAAAGCACCCACATTAGTTTTATATAAACCGTGTCCATATGAACTTCAAAAACAGACCATGAATAAAACGCAGTGAAGCACAGAAAGTTTTACATAATTGTGGACTGACTGCTAAAAAAGATTCCTGTCAGGCAAAGGGCCAGATACATTGATCACTGCGGCGAACTATCAGATGCCATCAGAGCTGAAGGCATGAGAAGACGCTGCTGCCTTTAAAAAGCCCTATAATTACCACTGCCTTTAATTACTTTTGGCTTAATATTAATCTACATGCTGGAAAGCCTCATTAATGGCTTTTTTTGAAGAAAGAGAACCCCTGTCTGGATGAAATCAAGGCAGCATGTGTGAGTCACAAAGGCATTTAAAGTGTTGCCTAATAGGCCATTGAGAGCGCACGGACCATTTTAGATAGTTCAACTTTATTCTGTGCTGTTTTGAGAGGGCAGCTGTTGGAGAGCTTCTCCTCTCAGCCACACTGAGGTCAAAGGTAAAGCCCTGGAAGTGCTCCATCCAAATGCTTGCTGTCACCGAGCTGGACAACCTCAGATGAGCCAAAAGAAATGTTGTTAAACTGCGCATCTCTGCAGCAGGGACTTATGAATCTATTTAACTTTTAGTTTCAAGTAATGTGTATAAATTTAAGATTTTTTTTTTTACATTTTTCATTCACTGGTCAATTTTAGGAATTTTGTATACTTTTTGTGGGGCCAGTGGAAAGGAAACAACCACAATATGTTTTCATAAATACATTTAGCCTATTATATAATAGTATATTAATTTCATTAAAAGCCGCTTCCTAAAATATATTTTTGGTATTACACCAAGCAAGAAACTGATTCAGTTGCACTTACATTAAATAGTTACGCAAAACCTCTCATTTCTTCCCCATTAAAAATTTCTATTTAAGGAAGTTGTTTTACACAGGGCTTTATTTACATAGGCCTTCTTGATTTTTCTGTTTTTATTAATTTCTTTTTTTTCTGATTCTTTAGAGCAGAGCTGCCTAAACTAGGACTCGCAGACCAAGGTTGGTCCATGGTAACCTTTGATTTCATCCACCATCCCATCTGAGAAGAAGGCAGAATAATGGGGATGGTTTGTGTAATGTTTAGATATTTTTTCAAATTTAATGTAACCTTTTATTTGTTTATTCTATAGTTAATCTACAAACACAGCTAACTGAAAGTAAATGTACTGTACTTAGTATAAAATGTAAAGCAGAATCTGCCTTTGCCTTGATTGGCTCACCAAAGTCTATGCATTGTCCTCTATCCGTCGGGTGACACTATGTACATTTTAAACTAAAGTACAGCATATGAAAATAGTATTCAGCATTGAACTTCACAGTGTTATAAATGTGATTATGTTTTTAACCCAATTAAAAAGCTATACTTTATTAGCTAATAGGTGATGTTTTCTATTTATTTTTAAGTATTATAAAATAAGTTAGGAAATTACCCAAGGCAATTTTAATGTAAAATAGTTTGGTTTTTTTATCTTCGGCCCACAGCTCTCGATATTTGGTTTTTAAGCCCTTCAAACAAAAAAGTTTGGGCACCCCTGCTTAAAGCATTCTTTCATTTACAAAGTGATTAAAAGAGAAATAAAAAATATTGTTTATATAAAAAAATAGTAACTATTACATAACCAACATACCCTAATATCTCCAAAAAAAACTAAATAGTTCTGTACTCTTTATTTAAATTTCAGATTTATGTTCTGAATATGTATGCAAATTAAATAAAACCATCAATCATTTGCATACTACACTATATTATGACGTTTGGACATTTCTGACCTTTTTTTTACATTAAAATGATAGGAAACTTGGTATAGATAAACACATAAAATGCTACCTAAGGTTAACTTTGCAGAAAAAAATGCTGTGTTGTTTGGAAATTAAATAAGAAAATGCAATGCAAACAATAACGCACTGTAAGCTTACTTTTGTGACAATAACCTCAACCTTGGATTTTCAAAGTCAAACATGTTTTGGATTATACACTGCTCAGCATATACAAGTACACCCAAATTTATATTTTATAGAAAAATGTTGAATACAAATTTTAAAAAAAGGGAAAGAGTTTTAGTTGAAATTTCAAATAGCTTTTTCAATATTTAGCTTGAATTTACTTGTATTATCTTTCATTTTTTTATGTGTTTGGTGACTAAAATATTATATATTTTTAAAATGAGGTGTACTCATATGCTGAGCACTGTGTATATATATATATATATATATATATATATATATATATATAAACAAACACACACAAATAAGATGTTTTTCTAAATAAAGGTTTGATAACTTCTGATTTCATTTTAAATAAAACATTTTTAAGAGAGTTGGAAATTGTTTTAAAAACTTGGTCAAAGCACGTCACAAATTGATTTTAACTATCGTATAGTCATTAGCAGTGTAAATACATCTAAGCACAGTTAAATAGAAAGAGTCGCTGAACTTACACAGTACTTTCATCTAGCTGAAATAAAGTGAACACCACCAGAAGGGTTAATCATGTGATTTCCGCAAACTTGCAATACAAAACAATTAATCAAATAGCTAGGTGTTGTTTTCTATAAATTAGAATGTGCATCAGTTAATCTATGATAACTTTTCGAATAAAACATGTAGGGTATATGAAAAACGTGTATAAACCGTTAATTTTACTTCTGATAACTCAATTCACTTTGCTGTTAAGTTTGAGTTAAATGTTCTGCACCTACATAACATGCCCACTTTCAGTACTCCAGCTGCTGTGCTGACTTGACTGAAAGAGAAACAAATCAAAGTCCAGCGCTTCTCAAAAACGCTCTAAATAAAACATGTGCCCTCTAAAGCACTCGACTTATGCAATTCTGCCTAAGCACTTGTGCCTCGTGACAGAAAGAAACATGTTTATGTTGGTCTTCATCCACATCAGGGGCGAGCAGCGCTGACAGAGCCCAAACTTTCGCTCTCCAGCAGTTTACATTGCGCCTTTACCGCGACTCTGTTACATAAACACACACTCGCCGACTGTCTTGCCTCAACAGCAACACGCTGTCATATAAAAGCCTATTAAAAGTTAGCAGAGAAACGCCTAATCCTGCTATTTTTAAGAGTGCGCAGAGTGATAAAATGCCTGAAATGTTTGTTGTCCGCGGACGCAGACTCGCAGCCCGCTCGTTTAAAATGGTGGTAAAGCTAACAAAACGCGCTACGTCGAACAACTTCAACACACCAAAAAAACAACTCTCACCTTTCTCAGCATTTGTCGAGAGTATCTCCTCCTCCTTAGGGTTCGTAACCTGCGTTATTATGGACGTGTTGTCCATGGAAACGAGATGTTAGCTCCTTTTTCCAGCGAGTTCTGGCCGCGTCCGTGTTCCGCTCGTGCTAACAGCTAGTCGAGTTAATGGCAGATCTCCAGACTGCTGTCGCTCAGGTTAGCGTGGGCGAACGGACTGCAGCCGACCACTAATCTTTGCGTTTTGTTGCATTAAAATAAGCGTCGCGGACACACATTTGATCAATCAGCCTGTACGGACGACGCGCATAACAAAATAAATCAATTGCGCCAGCGCCGAATGGCTAACAAGTAGTTGGAGGCTGCTTTGCTAATATAGCGTTAGCGAGCTGACCATGAAAGCTCCAAATGTGGGCTGAATAAATGACCCGCGCGTCGTCTGAACGCTAGCGTTTAAACTCCCGGAGCGGTAACGTAAACGGAGAAGGGCGGCATCTGCACGCTCAAGCGATCGTCGGAAACTGCCTCTTCATGTTTTCCCGTGTTTTCTGATTTCTGCTTCCAATATGGAGATGGCGACTGTTTGATATTCACGAGATAGAGCTGAGGAACAGCAGGAGGAGGTATTTTCTGGGAACCCCCTCCCTCGTATTAAAAATAAAAGCACGGCCGGGGCGCTCGCGCAGCCCGTCCAATGACAGACCGAGTCCGCTCAAAGTTGACCGATTTCTTCATCACTGCTCCAGGCGCTCGACTATGCGATATTTAAACACAACCCCAGATAGAATAATAATAATTATGATGATGATAATATTAAAAACAATAATGTTATTTTGATTTTTAAATTCTGCGTAGCGATTATAAGAACAGAACAGTTAGACCAAGAAATAAGTAGATCTCAATATTATTATTTTTATTTCAGTATAATATGTATTCAGTAACTTCAATATGTGATAAGCAGTTATAATCTGAATTGTAAATTTCTTAAATGTAATATAGATATATAAATAGGAATAGATTGATATCACATTGGAAAAGCATATATAGGCTTATACACTCATACACACTCAGACTATTTTTCATGTGCGTGTATTGATTATGAAGTGATAAACAGCCAGTATTTGTGCATTAGAGATTTTTAAGGGCTTTCCCTGTTCCCTTAAGTTGCATCGCATGGCTCCATCTGCTGTTCATAGTTGCACCTTTGTAAAACGTCACTAACGTTACATTACAGGGTTTTGTTTTTACGACAGTCGTTTTGGTGCAATTTTAGCAACGTTCAGTTGTATTTAAAGTAAATGTAATAATATTACTTATCGTGTAAGCGTCAAAGAGAGAGAGACTAAATCAACATCTCCAGTTTTCAAATAATTACAACCAATATTAAATATCTAATACAGGAAAAATGAAGGCATATCCTGGTAAAGTACTCCAGTTTGATATAAACAATAGCAAAATATGCTATTCATGAACATAGAGTCAGCCAGTGAACAAAAATTTGTCCAAAACGTCGAACTGATCTGAATGAATGTACTGTTGTGTATTTTTCATTTATTTGTATTATAAATGTTAGGCTACCTTATTTTGTACTCTTTCATTATTTTTTTAATAATCATGTTAGTCGTTTTCTAATTTATGTATTTATGAAATTTTTGATTGTTTTAAAATGTTTGTATACATATTAAATCACCACTGTACTATTTTATTCATTGTTTATGTAATCAGCAATGTTCAGTCAATACTTGACAAGTCACGCCAATAAAGCTCATTTGAACTGAACTGAGATGAACTGTATTAGAGATATACACAGAGAGAGGAGGTACAAAAATACATGGAATATGGAACAATCAATAATGTCTTTTCAGACTGATCAGAAGTGCAAATGAAGGAATATTCTATAACGGGAACATTTTAAAATACAGCATCGTGCATTACATTATATGCCCACATGGAATTTGCGTGCGCAGAAAACCATAGATTTTTAACCAGTCATTGAGTCCATTTATTGTGTAAATGTTTGTACAATTATGTTTATTTAGTTTTAATTAATTTCAGAAATATTATTGACTGATCTGAAAATGTTCATATGATTTATTTACAATAGTTTGTAAATTTATATTCTCTATTCTATTATATGAGACTTGCTTTATTTACCAAATAAGTGGATCTAATTGGATTTGCTTTGTGCACATTAAATACAAGTTAAAAAGGTATTATTTTTATGTCCTATATTAAGTTTTTAGTTACGATACTCCCAAAATCATTTTGCATAAATTTGCAGATTATTATCAAAATTCTGCACAGAAATAGCAAAAAATGTCTGCAGATTCTGTCTATGGCCCTACCTATGGGACTTTTATAAAAGACTTACCATGATATAGTCTGGAAAATAAAGGTCTTTTGGGTAGCTAATTTTTTATTCATTGTTTTTAAAGAAATATTCGTAAAGCTCTTTGGTGAGCTAATGGTTCTTCTGCAGCCTTCTTATGTAAACCCACTAGAACTTTATTTTCCAAGTCTTGAAACTCCTGAAAAGATGAAAATATACTGTAAGAAAATGTACTGATATAGATGTAAATCCTAGAGGGGTGAGAAGGGACAGGACCCTTATACTGTAAAAACAAATCCTGGTCGCTTTAATTATTTAAGCTGAATCAAATCAACCATGTGAGTTCATTGAACTTATAGTATGTTAAACTTAAAACAGCTTGCATAACATAAAATTAAGTTAGAACATGATTGACTTAGTTTAATTAGTTACAATGAACAAAAGACATGTGCTTTCAAGTTGACCAATTGATCATATATTTTTTTACAAATATATCTAAGGGTTGTGTTGCTTCCAATCTCAGCATGATAACCTTTGATAAAAATATTGCAGTTTCATTGCAATTACTACGCTAAAATATATTCTTCTTAAATGTATGGGCAAAAAAAAAACAAGAAATGTTTTTCCCTTTGAATACATTATATTTTTATTTTAGGAAACATTTAAAATATTTTATAACAGCAAACACTGTTTCATTCATTTTCTTTTCAGCTTAGTCCCTTTATTAATCTGGGGTCGCCACAGCGGAATGAACCGCTAACTTATCCAGCACATGTTTTACACAGCAGATGCCCTTCCAGCTGCAACCCCTCACTGGGAAACATCCATACACACTCTTTCACACACATACAATACAGACAATTTAGCTGACCCAATTTACCTGTATACTGCATATCTTTAGACTTGTAGGGGAAACCGGAGCACCTGGAGGAAACCCACGAGAACATGGGGAGAACATGCAAACTCCAGACAGAAATGCCAACTAACCCAGCTCGAAGCAGATCCCTTCTTGCTGTGAGGCGATCGTGAACAGTAAACACCTCAGACTAAATTACTAAAATCAATCATTGACTTCTGCTGTCTCCATTAGTTTGAAAAATAATTTTCTTTACAACACATAAAAAAATGTACATATACCTTAGAAACGGTATAACAGAAAACTTAAAATCTCTGACTTTTCCAAACTGCAGTAAACCTTGAAACCAGTTATCATCCCATAGTACAGGTCAAAATTATGTTTCTTTTCTACATGAATCTGATACAATGAAAGGCAAAAAACATTTTGTCCACATTTTTATATTTTATTTTTACAAAGGTTATTTGAAGACACTCTACTTGCATTTAATATAGCCATAAGGAATTAACCGCCAACTTATCCAGCAAGGTTTTTACGCAGCGGATGTCTATCCAGTCGCAACCCATCTCTGGAAAACATCCAAACACACTCATTTACACTCATACACTACGGACAATTTAGCCTACCCAATTAACCTGTACTGCATGTCTTTGGACTGTGGGGGAAATAGCACCCTGAGGAAACCCACGAAAATACAGGGAGAACATGCAAACTCCCCACAGAAACGTCAACTGACCCAGCCGAGGATCAAATGAGTGACCTTCTTGCTGTGAGGCGACAGCATACTGCGCCACTGTATCGTCAGCCTACAAAAACACTTGTTTAAATGTATATGTGGGCACTAAAATGTGAGATTTTATTTTTATTTTTTTAAATCAGAGCAAATTTAACTGCATGAGCAAACATATTCTTTAGTGAATGCAAGATTGCTTTACATTTTCCAGACATAATTTATTTAGAAAGTTTTGACTGAACCAAGAGACATACTAAAAAAGTATGTCAAGACCATTCATTCATTTTTCTTCAGCTTAGTTCCTTTATTTATCAGGGGTCACCACAGCGGAATGAACCGCCAACTTATTCAGCATTTACACAGCGAATGCCCTTCCAGCTGCAACCCAGTACTGTGAAACACCCATACACACTCATTCACACACATGTGGCCAATTAAGTTTATTTATTTCACCTATACCACATGTATTTGGACTGAAACTGGAGCACGCGGAGGAAACCTATGCCAACACATGGAGAACATGCAAACTCACACAGAAAAGGCAACTGGACCAGCTCAAACCAGCGACTTTCTTGCTGTGAGGCAATAGTGCTAACCACTACGCCAGCGTGTCGCAGAACAAGATCAAAAGACTTATTTTTTTGTGAGAAAAGTACAAGTCCTAATCCCTAAAAGATTTCTGAAGTTTTTGCCGAAGAAACCAGTCAAGAAATCCACCATCCCATGGACAACAACAAAAGCAAGTCCTCCTCATGCATCCGGGCATCGCGCACCTGTACAATTTAGCGATGCTCCTTGAATATGTGCGCCTGCTTGACGGACAGTTCTGGTGCCTCCCCTCTGCAGTTCCCGTCCTGATTATAAATACACTCCGTCCACCCCCTCCCGCAACATCCACACCAGCTTCTGCTGCCTCTCAGTGCACCATCGGCACTGGCACACCGGGACGGATGTATTAGGGAGCAGCCCATACTCACCCCCCTTTTTCTTTCTTTTTTTTTCCAAATTTTGCGGGGGCTGACATCTGCCTTCAAACATCTGAGCGGCTGTGAAAGGCAGATACAAGGTTAGTACTGAGCAAGTGCACTTCCTTTTGATTTACTGTACTTACTGTAGGCTACGCGCTGTTGTAAACAGTCCCATGTATGGGTGGGTGATTAGAACTATGCAGCATCATTTACATTCCCCAGGGCTTTGATTTTGCGTGTTTATGAATTATTTGTACCGATACAAGTCTGATTGTAATGAAGCAAGGGGTTGTTAGTTAATTAAATGTACTTAAGAAATAAACTGACAGTCAAGAGGGCTCCTCGGGGAGTTGAGTGGCCGGTTTTGCAGACTCCCGAAGGATCTCCTGATGTGTGGGAGATCGCATTGCGCTGCAGCTGCCGCACTGTACACGAGCAACTGCTCGGGCTAAAATAGGAAGAGGTTGTACGGTGCAGCTGACTGTGCTGTTTCTGCGGAGCTGTGAAGTCAGACACTCCCATTTAAGTCACTGGCTTTTACGGTCTTGAGTTCTGAGAATTAGACTGGATGTGATCATTTTTGTTGTATAGCCTATATCCCTGTTGTGATTGCAAATGGATTGCTTAGCATCGTATTAGGGTTAGTGAAATGCGCAAAATAAAATGCGTCCTCATGTAAAATGTAGACTCGATGATCTTTAAAGCCTATAATTAGTGAGTGTCTTCACTGATGAAAAAAGACAGCTTTGGTGATTTTAAAACTTGACACACTGTTGATACAGTAACAAATACCATAGGTACTTTGTTGCTCTTTCAAGGCAAAA